GTTGTCTAGGGACGGCCCCTGATCATCATTGCGGGAGTGTGGAAAAAGCAAAGTGGTCTGAGCTGAAAGCGTGGCCTGCGGTATGATGCACATGGCAAAATTTAAGGAACGTGGTAGGGATTGTAGTTCCATGCGGTTGCAAGTACCAAGCAAGAGGTGGTAATTGGTGTTGTTGCGACTGTTCCTATTTCTCTCGTGGTAACTTGTTGGCATGGATGCAGAGTCAAGTTGTATTCCCAGGAATGTAACGATAGTGTCTGGGTCTTCTGTGACCTTAGGGAATACTGGGACACCCAAGTGTTCAGACATACTAATGGCTTCCTTGAAGCTTCTAGAGGGAAAGGCGTTCCCTTTGACCAACAAGAAATCATCTCGGGAGTGTATGACTGTGGGGCATCTGGATATGTTTAACCACAACCAGCAAAGAGTTCAACGAATATATTGAAGATTGTGGGCTGCTCTTGACCCGAAAGTTAAGTGGGAGGAGAAATATATAACTGCTGCCCATAAATGCCCTGTAAGTGCCAGCAGTCTGAAATGCATTTGTGATATCAGTTTTACTTAACCAGGCTTCCCCCCCTGCTTGAGTGATAGCTGTAATGGTATGAACAATGGTGGCATACTGTAATGAAAACTCCTCGGAGGGTATGAGGGAGTTGAGACTTGGGGTAGCCGAGCCGTGAGGTGCAGATAAGTCTATGATCAGTTACAGTGTGAGGGAAGATTCCCTGTGACAATCCCAATGGGATTGTGCCACGCTGTAAATGGTGTAGATCGGAGAGGCCCAGGTAGAATTCTTTCTGCCATTTCTTGGGCCATGAGTGTAATGCCAGCTGTTGGATGCTGCTGTGATGACTGCAAGTTAGGGCATTCTAGATTCCCCCAAAAGTATATGGCAATACCTGTACGGAAGGCCTTTAAAATTCGGAGATTAGGAAATCAACTAAATGTCTGGAAGGGTGATGAGTTAAAAAAGGACTGGAAATGCAAATGTTTACAGATGTGAAGTAAGGTTCAGGGTACATTTATTGGGACACATGGTTTTTTGCATGTGTCCTGACATATTGAGAACATATCTGCAACAGTCTGCATGCACTGAAACTACATGTGTCAACATGGAAATTGTTGCCAATCTGGGATTTGCCACAGAGAATGAGAGGACCCAATTTGTCTCTGGTAGTTCTCTACGTACTACCAGAGGTGCTAGAGCCTGGAGCCTGAAACGTGATCGTCAGCTGTGTTGGGACAAAATTGTCGTGTGGGACTAGCAACATCTTCTCCAAGTGAAAGTGTGTTGACTCTAGCTGGAGTGTTAGGTAGAGAAAAATCCTTACCACCTGCTTGATACATACTAAAAACATGAAGATAGCCATTATTATATGAACCCACAGTGTGCTAGTACTGGCTTGCTAGCTAAAGCCGCATGGGGAAACAATTAATCCTTTGTTTAGTGACAGGTGAGGCCCTGCTAGTTGCCAAGTGGCTTTAGAGGCTCTATCTATGCAATGGCGCAAGGAGATTTTTGTGGCCACCAAACGTAGTGGCAGGATGTTGGCCTCTCGGTGACTGTAACCAGAAAAAAGGGGAAGGGAGTACCATGCGAGGCGGCTAGCTCACGAGTGGCCCGATGGGTGTTTGCCTCCGAGCGTTGAGGCGGGGTGTTGGCCTCGCGGGACCACTATTGGAAACCTATAGTCCCTAATTTCCAGTATGCTAAGGATATACCACATGAACAGGTGTATGTACCTGGAAGTATGATTAGATACCCTTACCCTTAGGGTTATTAATACCTGTATCCCGGACGGGTAAAACAATGTATGAAAATTGAATATAGGCATTTAAAAGCGTATACCCATATATGTGTTATGCAAGTTTAATAGAGAAAAGTGCTCCGTCCCAATGTTTATTGTATGCTTGTAATGCCCCTGTTTGAAGGAAATTAACTTGTCGGGAGTGTTATATCATGTGTGATATGGAATACAACTGTACCCCGAAACATGAGTGTAGTGAACCATGACTGGCAGCTGAATAACCTAATGTGTGAAAATACGTAATTGGAAGGACTTATATTTTAAGCGTGCAAACATGCAAATATTCTGTATTAGACTCCAGAATCCTGCATAGTGCTTTAAATAGTATGTGAATTCTTGGGTAAATGTATGCGTATTGTCAGTAAATGTAACTAAATGCCTATGTAGGCAGGTATGCAGGAATGATTATATCATAGCAAGCATGAGTTGTAAGGAAGTGTTATTGTGTAATTATAATTATAGTGAGAATGTTATGAGGGGAATAACCATATGTCTGAAAAGCCTGTAGTATACCATTTGACAGATAGGAGTCAGTATAAAAGCGAAAATACTGTAGTTAGTTTGTTTGCTTATGAAGTGAAATAAAGTCTGAGAAGCCTGTAGTATACCGATTGACCGGTAGGGGTCAGCATGTAGGCGAAAATGCCGTGGTTCGTTGGTTTGTACATGAAATGCAATAATGTCATAAGAAGCCTGTAGTACACCAAAAGACCGGTAGGGGTCAGTGTGTAGGCGAAAATGCAGTGGTTCGTTGGTTTGTACATGAAATGCAATAATATCTGAGAAACCTGTAGTACACCGAATGACCGGTAGGGGTCAGTGTGTAGGTGAAAAATGCAGTGGTTCGTTGGTCTGTACATGAAATGCAATAATGTCTGAGAAGACTGTAGTACGCTGAATGACCGGTAGGGGTCAGTGTGTAGGCGCAAATGCAGTGGTTCGTTGATTTGTACATGAAATGCAATAATGTCTAAGAAGCCTGTAGTACACCAAAAGATCGGTAGGGGTCAGTGTGTAGGCGAAAATGCAGTGGTTCGTTGGTTTGTACATGAAATGCAATAATGTCTAAGAAGCCTGTAGTACACCAAAAGACCGGTAGGGGTCAGTGTGTAGGCGAAAAATTGTATTTCGTTTGTAGTTTTAACCAAACAGATTTTAACCGAAACAGATTTTAAACAACAGATTTTACCTGAACAACTAGGTGAGTATAAGGTAACGAAATAACCGTACAAAACTAAAGGAAACTGTAAAGTGAAGACCCGAGCTGTGCTGAACGCCGTGGGAAATAATCCTGGTGCGACAGGTGGGTCAACTTACGGTTTGAGAGTCCCTGAGACACCAAATGTGATGCTGACCGGAGAGAAAGCCACTGGGTTAACGGAAAGCCCTGCTGCAGGATTCCTGGACACAGCTTGGAGTTATAGACCTCATGGAGCAAAGGTGAAACCAAAATGGCGTCTTGTATGACCTGGAAATGGATCTCATGCAAATGCTGACCTCAAACAGTCTATTCGTCTGACCAACAAAGGTAAGTAGGGAAAGGGGGGAGTCCCTTTTATAGGTCTATAGCCCCTCCCACAACTTCAGACCATGCCTTCTAATATATAAAAAAAGAGGAGCATTACCTCCTTACATTCCCGTAGCCTTCCTGCAACTTCCAAAAAATTGTCTATTCCTGATTTCGTTATTGCTTTTGGGATCAATAGAGATGTTTTATGTTCTGTCTACCCACACAAGAGGGAGGAGTTGGATCTCTATATGCACAAGCTGGTGGACTTGGGTAATATATACAGTGGTACATCATTTTATGACTACCACCAGTCCTTTTCAGCAAAGGAGTCTGCAGCTCTGGCCCAGTTCAATGTCAGATTGGAGATTGGAGCAAACTGGACACAGAGCTCTTTTGCAGACACTTCGCTGGACGGAGCACACCAGGAACATGGGCAGGAACACTATACCCAGACCATTTCAATAAAATGAAGTGGTCTGGGTGCCTATTTTGTCCTTTTAAACCAATTTAATGTTTTATGCTATCAAGAGTCCTCAGTAACCCAGTCATTCTCTGCTGCTTGGACTAATGAGGAAGCTTTAACCTGAGCAGCAATGGGTGGGTGTGGTTATCTGAGAGTGTCAGCTGACTGCATTTAACCAGGTATGAATTGGTAAGGTTACGAGGAAGTCCTAGTCATGCCTCCACTGGCTGTGGGGCTATGGGAAGCAAGGTACCCTAATTCAGTGTTAAACTGCTCGAAAAAGGTTTACCAGAGAATGGACGGACAATGTCTGGGAACTTCAGGCACTATAACCAATTAAATGAAATAAAATATAGCACCCAGTGTGCTTCTAATTATTTTGCAAAGAGTAGACATAGAGCCAAGGAGGTAAGTTTCGCTAAGGCATTGGGTTTCTAAGAGACCTTCATAAAGATCTTAGTTAGAATTTTCTCAAATCGTAAAGCACTAAACAGAATTTGTTCCAACAAATACAAATATATTTGATTACTATGTTAGAAATAATCAAAAAATGTTGATACAAATGTTACCAGCCTTGTGCGCACAGTGTTATCTATTTGTGCTATTTGGTTATGTACCTAGGAGGTACAAGAAGAATATATTCCAAGTGCATAAAATGTAAAAAATGTTATCACTCATGATTCTTTTGAAGATTTTGCTGAACTGTTGGTTTGGAGAGATCTCTGTGAGCTGCATCAAGTAGCAGGCTGTCCAGGTAAGATAGCAGCTGCTTAGCCAGCTGAAATATGACCCCATTCGGGATCTTAAAAGTCATAGGCAGTGGTGTAATGTGGGGGGCCACCAGGGCACAACATTTCAAAAGAAAATAATTGTAATAATAAATAAAAATGTATGTGTCCTTCCCCTCACATAGAAATTTGTCCAATGTTTGAACATTCTACACAGTTTTCCAACATGACGAGGCAAATTAATGTTGCCATCTACGGTTTTACAATATTATTCTTGCTAATTACAGCCATAATGTCCATGTGTAATCCTTATCAGTGACTTGCACAATGCCATAATACCTGGTACCGTCAAATGGGAAATTATGCTGTATTAATATGCATTATGTAAACGCCTATTAAATGGTATCATACTGGTACACTGGTAACGGGCGCCTATATAACCTCGCTCCTACTTCCCTACCTGCCTTGTCTCTGTGATGTGTGTGACTGTGATAGACTAAGACTATACACATTACTTTAGGCATCAGGTGGAGTTTAAAAATTCTGCATTGCAACTATCTTGTCACACACTTCACTGAGACAGGGTGAGCTGGGAAGGAGGGTCAAGGCTATTAAGGCTCCCATTAAAGGAATCAGGGAGTGCTAATGGTCCATGGATTACAGGGTGCAGTACTTGCCCAGGGCACTGGCAACCAATGCTATGCCACTGGACACGGGAATATCTTACAGCATGATATTGTTCTTATAAGAATGCTTCTCAAGTGATGCAGTCAATGAATACCTGTAATTTGTCTGTTTTAGGGATTAGGGACTTTGGTAACTTTGTCTAGTTTATCTTCAAGGTGAGATGCTACGTTTTTGATCAGTGGCGTACACACAATCCATGGGGCCTCAGTGCAAAACTGATCTGTGGGCCCCCTCCCTATTCCCCCCACTCTCCGACCCCGACAGACAGACACACACACACACATACATACATAGAGACACACACACACACACACACACAGACACAGACAGACAGATATATACATACAGACACATAGACACAGACAGACAGACACACACACATACATACAAACAGACAGGCACACATACAGACATACACACACACACACACACTGACACATACATACAGACCGACACACATACAGACACAGACAGGCACACATACATAAAAACAGACAGGCACACATACAGACACACATACAGGCACACAGACAGACACATGCATACATACAGACAGACACACACATACAGGCACACAGACAGTCAGATACAGACAAACACACGCACACACATAGACACACAGACACATGCAGACAAACAGACAGACACACACACACACACAAGACACACATGCATACAAAGACACATACACACATACACACAGGCAGACACACACACACAGACACATACAGATAGACACACACACATACAGACAGGCATACATACGTACAGACAGGCACACATACATACACATACATACAGACAGACACACACACACACACACACACATACATACATACATACATACATACAAATAGAAAAGCACACACACACATACATACATACAGGCAGACACACATACAGACAGACAAACACACTCACACACACACATACATACACACACACACACAGAGGCACACATACAGACAGACACACTGACACATACATACAGAAAGACACACACACACACACACACAGACAGACACACATACACATACAGACAGACACACACATACATGCAGCCAGACAGACAGACAGACAGGCACACATATAGACACATACACACAAACACACACATACACACACACAAAAAAAGTCAACCTCCTTTTTCCTACCTTTTAGATGCAGGAGGGTGACTATTCCTGGGGTCCAGTGGTGGCTCAGGTGGATCTTCCTCCCACGCGGGCTCGATGTATGCTGGGAGGAGTGACTGCGATCACTTCCTCACAGCTTTAGATGTCATCACAGGGGGCCAGGTCGCGCTGTTAAAGCGCCCAGCGCTGACCGGGCCCCCTGACAATCCATATCCATCGGGTGGCCGGGGCCGCAAAAGATGGCGGCGGGTACCCTTGCGACCGCGATATGTACGCCAGTGTTTCTAATATATGGCTGGAATTTTTGTTTGATCGTATTTCTTACTCGTGTCGTCACGCTTAAATCAAATTTTGATTGAGATTGTTTAAGAGTCTCTGTTTTCGTCTTGTCTCTATCACAAAGGTTGTCAGCAAAAGATTTGTTGATGGTTAAAAAATGTGGTTGTCTGAATCGATTCACCTGAAAAAAAAATTTTTGGGGCGATTCAGGATTGTCCATGTGGCTTTTCGGTTCAGATGAATTTCGTTCATGTGATCATTTAGGGTAAAACTATTCAGACAAACATGGCGTGACAATTGATACCAGTATGTATACATTTTGCAGTACACTGGAGTTTTGCACCATTTGGTTCACAGATCAAGTTAGAAGATATAATCAGTGGAGAGAAAGAAAATCCATATTTATATGTTATTTATCTATTTATTTAATATATAAATATTTATATTTTACTCCTCCTACTTTTTCCCTGAGTTGGTCACTTCTCACTTGATCCATGAACGAAATCTGTTGCAGAAAATTCGGATAAATCACAATTTGTTTGAAACCAAATGCACAAGTCTAGTCAGTGATATGGATGTGGGACCTTGATTTAGAGCCCCTGTTGCGTTTAGGTTTTAAGTTAGAATAGGATATTTCTGTTCCAGGATATTGCAGGGATATTTACATCTATGGGAATTGTTGTAGAATAGATAAATCATTTGGAGAGTTTCTCAAACAGATTTAAATCATTTAAAAAGCTTATTCAAAAACATTAAAGCGAGGCCTGTTTGTTTCATTTATTTTTATTCACGCTTTAACGTTCTTATAGGTCACTCTTACAGACCAATTAGCGCTCTCCTATTTTATATTAAGTTCAATAAACATTTACATAATATAGCGCATGAACCTAGATGTGCAAAACGTGATAGCATCTTTTGTTTCCATAATTATTAATAAACTATAGGGTTACATTATTCTTATTGCATGTTCACAAGCAAAGCCAAGGTACCAAGAATGATGACTTAATCATGAACATTTTGTGTAACCATTATCTTCTTTTTCCCTGAAGATAATTTATAGGAATATTCCATAGTATTGGCAGTGATTTCAAGTCGTGAGTGTCTCTGAAAGCCAAGGTCTCTTTTTGAACTGTAATTAGCAGTATATAAGGCTAATGTACAAAATGTCGCAAGTGAGTGATTTTTTAGAAATCAGTCTGTGTCTACATTTATTTCTAGGAAACTCCACAAATCTTGAGAATAAATATACCTCTCACTGTCTCTGTTTTGATACCAAACAAGGGAGAAGACTATATTGTTATCTTTATAGACCTATCTGTCTTTATGTATTCATAAAGATTAACAATGCTTGTTAAAACATTTCTTTCTCGAAGTTTAACACTTGCAGTGTTAGAGATTCTCACTGCATTTGCAAGTCATGTATTTATAGCTCATTTGATTATGTTTCAACACCATCAACAACAATAATAAAAATAATAATAATAATGTTATCAAACTATTTGAACATAAGACACATAATTGTATTCCTCAAGTGTTCATGTATACACTGGGGTAAAGGCTATTATGTAACTCAGTGGTAACTCCTTGTTATAAACTCTTAAATTCTCATAGTAAATTTGTACTCTACTGCCAAAAATTGCATTTTATTCCATATCGTATTATTCATTATTACACTAAACAAAATTATAAACGCAACACTTTTGTTTTTACCCCCATTTTTCATGAGCTGAACTCAAAGATCTAAGACTTTTTCAATGTACACAAATGGCCTATTTCTCTCAAATATTGTTCACAAATCTGTCTAAATCTGTTTTAGTGAGCACTTCTCCTTTGCCGAGATAATCCATCCACCTCACAGGTATGGCATATCAAGATGCTGATTAGACAGCATGATTATTGCACAGGTGTGCCTTAGACTCGCCACTCTAAAATGTGCAGTTTTACTGTATTGGAGGTCCGACGAGGGGGGTCCAAAAACCAGTCAGTATCTGGCGTGACCACTATTTGCCTCATGCAGTGCAACACATCTCCTTCGCATAGAGTTGATCAGGTTGTTGATTGTGGCCAGGGTCCTCTTAATCTTTTGTTTCTACACAAATTCATCTTTTGTCATTTACTTGCAGTTTGTTGTCCATAATTTAAAATGATAAAGTGCTGCGGAATATGTTTGGAGTTAATAAATGGTAAAGATACCTAGTTCCTCTGTATACAGAAATGAGTGCAAAAGCAAAATCTCACAATGCATGCAATGAATTAACTAGTAACTAAAGAATAACATTGAGATCAGGTCTAGGTTCCGTGCAGTGGTGAAACTAATGTAGTGAGAGCCCTGGTGCACACAAATGTCTGTAATTAGCCCCAGCACTTCTAAAATGCATTGTGATTAGCCACATTATTTCTTGGCAAACCTTGGGGGAACGCCTGAAGGTTTGCCTATTTCAGTCTTTCTTAGACGTCAATACTATAGAATGTCATGTCTACGATCAGTGCAAAAAATAACTGTATAGTAACAAGGTCAAAATACAATGTAGGGCACCACTATCACAAACAAAGTGGTGGATTTAATTACCAATTATATCCAGTGGTGTATCCTGGTTTTGTGCTGCCCTAGGCAGGACAAAACTCAGGCGCCCCCCTCCCCCCGCGCCACCCCCACCCAACCCTTCCCCCCGCCCCACCTTCTAAATAAACACACACACAGTCAGACAAACACACACACACACACACACACACACACACAGTCAGACACACACACACACACAGTCAGACACACACACACACAGTCAGACACAAACACACACACACACACACACACACACACACACAGTCAGACTCAAACACACACACACACAGTCAGACATACAGTCAGACACATACACAAACACACACATACAGTCAGACACAAACACACACACACACACAGATACAAACACACACACACAGTCAGACACACACACACATACAGTCAGACACAAACACACACAGTCAGACACAAACACACACAGTCAGACACAAACACACAGACAAACACACACACACACAGTCAGACACATACACAGACACACACACACACAGTCAGACACATACACAGACACACACACAAACACACAAACACAGTCAGACACAAACACACACACAGAGTCAGGCACAAACACACAGACACAAACACACACATTAACTTTTTTTAAATTTAAATCCCCCCCCAACCTCCTTACCTTTGGGAGTGCTGGGGGGGGGGTCTCTCTCCCTGGTGGTCCGGTGGCTGCAGGTCGGGCTGGGCGGCGCTGACAGGCGGGCGGCCGGCGAGGGAGCTCTTCCTGTGAGCTGACTGCTCAGCTCCCTCGCGCGTCACCTGCAGTGAGCTCAGGGGAAGAGCTCCCTCGCCGGCCGCCCGCCTGTCAGCGCCGCCCGCCCGGGTTGTCAGTTAGCCGCGAGGCTAACTAGGCATTTGCCCTGGGCATTTGGGGGGCGGCGTTTTTTGCCGCCCCCTGAAAAATGCCGCCCAAGGCAAATGCCTTGTTTGCCTCGCGGCTAATACGCCCCCTGATTATATCCACCACTTTGTTTGTGATAGTGGCGCCCTACACTGTATTTTGACCTTGGGATTCAGCCCCAAGAATGAAAAGAACACATTCAAACAATCAGGCAGTTCATAGTCCTTGGGTATCCCCAACAAAAGGCTTCATGAAAACAGAATTAAAGTACACTGAACAAAATTATAAACGCAACACTTTTTTAAAATATAAATATATATTTTTTATAATTTTTGGAATATTTGTTTTGTACCCAGAATTACATTGCTCATCTAGTTTGGTGCATCATATTTGTTAATGGTATTTGCTCAAAGCTTTAGGGGATATTTTGTACATACCAACAAAACCCTTCCCACGCTATTTCAATGTTTGTGCACCTTGGGTAAAATATGTAATACATTTTAAGCTATTTGCTGAAATATATCTCTTGACTTTTACATGATCTATACTAATAACTTCTGATATTTATAATTTAGCCGTAGTCTAATCTATTAAAGACATGAAAGAAACTGCCAGACATTTAATGGCATTACAGTTCCTGGACTTCCTCTCTAAAAAGACATTACATACATAAACATTTCAGATACAATTATCCATGTGTAAATGCATAATAATGTAACATCCAGGTTTATGCCAGAGGCTGGCTGACTCACTGGCACCCCCCTAAACCCTCCCTCTCAGCTGAACGCAAAGGGCATTTTACTTTACTTCCTTATTATCCATCCAAATATTTGTACAACTTTTGAAACCATCTGGCTTCTGTATAAACCATGGGTCATCAACCTGGTCCCTACCGCCCACTAGTGGGCATTTCAGGATTCCAGGTGGGTGGTAGGGATTTTCTAATTTTGAGAGACCGGGCGGGCGGGTGCGAGCCGGCGGGGCCACATATGGAGGGTTCCATCGGGTGGTCCATGCTGTCAGGCCCACCCGATGGATGTGGATTGTTAGGGGGCCCGGTCGGCCCCCTGTGATTACATCACTGAGCTGGGAGGAAGTGACTGCATGTCACTCCTCCCAGCTAACACTGAGAGCCGCGCGGGAGGAAGACCAGGGAGTCAGAGTGGGAACTCTGACTCCCATCCACGTGAGCCACCACTGGACCCCAGGGAAAGTCACCCTCCTGCACCTAAAAGGTAGGAAACAGGAGGGTGACTAAAATATTTTGTGTGTGTTTGTTTGTGTATGTGTCTTTGTATGTATGTCTTGTGTGTGTGTGTCTGTATGTGTGTGTGTCTGTATGTGTGTGTGTCTGTGTTTTTTTGTCTGTCTGTATGTATGTGTCTGTCTGTATGTGTGTGTATGTGTGTCTTATGTATGTGTCTTTGTATGTATGTGTGTGTCTTTGTATGTGTCTTTGTATGTATATGTGTATTTGTGTGTATGTGTGTCTTGTCTTTGTATGTTTATGTTGTGTGTGTATGTGTCTTTGTATGTATGTGTGTCATATGTATGTGTGTCTTGTGTCTGTCTGTGTGTATGTGCCTTTGTATGTATGTCTTATGTGTGTCTGTTTGTATGTATGTGTCTTGTGTGTGTGTCTGTATGTGTGCCTGTCTGTGTGTCTGTATGTATGTGTGTGCCTGTCTGTCTGTATGTGTGTATGTATGTGTGTGTGTCTGTATGTATGTATGTGTGCCTGTCTGTTATAGTGGGCTATAGTAAGTAATAGTAAGTGGGATACCTAGCTCAGCCTTCCTACTGGGCATTGCTATAAGGAAGGTTAAAAAAATAAAAAAATAAAAGGTGGGGAGGGGAATTGTGGAGGGAGAGGAGGGGAGCTGACGCACAGATGAGAAATCATATTATGCGCAAACAGATAAGTCGTCTGAATATCACCGAAAGAGGAGACCTTCGTTTGTTCCTTTGAAAATCAAACCAGATATCAAATATTTAGTCTTGCAGCATCAACCTCAAGGATCTCATTAATCACTAGTAAAGGTAATTCCAATTTACTTTTTTGTTTTCTCATTAAACTTTATAAAGTTAAAAACATTATAAACATGCATTAAGTAGAAATAAAAAGATAAATGTACGTACGTTTATTTTTTTTAAAACACCCTCCTTTCTAAAAAATATTCCGCACTTGCGCGAAAACTGGTGGGCGGTAAGGAAATTTTTTCAACCAAAGAGATGCATTAGTGGGCGGTAGGTAGAAAAAGGTTCACTACCACTGGTCTAAACGCATTTTTTTTTTAAAATGGTTGTGGTGCTTGGGGCATACCATATTATCAATGAGAGGAGCTAATTTTTGCACTTCTATTATACGGGAGCCTTTGGGAAGCAGAAAATATCTATGTAACAAAAGTCAATTAATAATAGGTATTCATTTGATTTTAAATTGATATCCATTAAATATTCGAGGGTGGTTTAATAAACTTTTACAAGAATAGAACTAATGAGATTTTGAAGACTAAATAAATAAATGTGAGTTCAAGTGTCCAGAAAGTGAAAAATGTTACTTTAATTAAAATTGTTATTTGACTATAACTGTTATTTAATGTGATTTTAATTCGAAGCCCAACGGATACAACAAAATGCTACAGCCTTATGGGAACCTGCATTCAAAGTTCTGTGTTATTTAAATGTTAATAATATAATAAAACACAAACTAATTCACTAAATGCGTCTTGTTTATTCTATAGCCCTTTTACCTACATTTTGGCGAGATATGTTTAACAGTATTGTTTGGTTTTTGTTACTTTTGTATTATTGAAAACGTGAAGGACATTCCGAGGATTCAGTTTGTAATAGCAGGAAAGACACTTTGATACTTTGTAGTTAGAATGAGAAATAAGTAAAATAACTTGATTAGTTTTCATGGACAAAGTGACATGCTGATAAAGGTTTTCCTATGGTTCTCTCTGCGTCAGTATTCCGGAGAGTTTATAAATTGTGTGTTACAGTGAGCGGAAGAAGATAGTGACACATTGATACAATACATTTACAGTAACCTGTGATGATAACCTTGGGAGGCCAGATGTTTATGGACCACTATTTCCATGATGCTTATCTGCAATGTTTTAATAAATACAAATAAGTTATGTATATGGCTTTACAAAGTTACTGACATCTTTTTCCCTTAGTTTAAATTGACAGGAAAGGTCCTTTTCCATATGCGACAGATGACATAATCCTGTTTCTCCTTCCTCTCAGGACAGTGAAGTGGTTATGGAGTTATTTTCTAAGCTGTGAATTGTTTGGAATTCAAAGAGAATTTCAAATGTTAGGCCGAAACAGCTGGTGTGGAAACAATTTGAATTATATGAATTTGAAGAATAATTTAAATTCGACTATTTTGTCTTAAAATTTCAAATTCACTTTGAATTTACTTTGAAAATCCGACATTTCACTCTCTAGTGAATTAGGATTTTGATCTTCTCTGTCCTTTTGTGTCACTTAGGCCTTATCTGTATTATATATTACTTTGCAGCATTGTCTGTTCTGTTCTGGTTCCTTTTATGTCTGCCAGTACCAGTTCTATGGTTAAAGATCTTTGCTGATTTTCTGATACGTTCTACACATTTCCCTGACCTCTTTTTATGAATTTTCTACCAATTGGACCTACTACTATTCCCTTCGTCCTTCTTATTCTTGCTCGTGTTTTATGTCTGGAGCAATGTCCTATTATGGCATGATTGTCTCCTTCCGTTAACACCTCTTCCAATTACACAGTCTAGTATGCTGTCCACAAAGTCTGGTGTGGTTCCTGGACAAACTCATTGTTCTCATTGTAAGAAAGCTGTGTAGAGTTGGTGGTTCTAGAGTTGACAAACATAGTTATGGGGCATGTACAAAAAACTTTACAGATATGGTAGTCTAAGTAAACTACCATACAACACATACTGGAACTGAATCAGGCATATATTTGATCTTATACTGATCTATAGCTGGTGGCAATATGGCAAATTATAAAATGACAGACTATTCAAGTTGAAGTCCAAATCTTTTTAATCTTTGGATATTTTAATTTTTGTGTTCAAAATATATTTGTACTTGAGCTTACACTATGTCTGTGTTACATGTATTCCATAAGTGCAGGTAAACCATTTTAAGGGACACTGTGCTTACTATAGTCCCTCCATTCAGTGTTAAACCAGGGGATTCCAGACACTGTAACCAGTTTAATGAGATGAAGCGGATACAGTGCCTACAGTGTCCCTTTAACCATCTGTGTCTCACACCAACAGTAGTAACAGCTAAAACAGTACACAACCTGATTTGTGACAAAAATTACAATGGACTTCCCAGCTGCTCTCTTTCCCCAGTTCCCCAAATTATTCTCATGACATATACCCACTTGCCGTACTGATTCTCTGCTACTATGATAACCTTGTGCTTACATCGGGCTAACTCCTAACCAGAATTGCTCTTATTCGTTCCTTTTTTAGTATTTATTCACCCTGAAATATGTCATGGAAAACCCCTTGCATGGGGCCTTGCATATAAGACCAGTTGTGGCTGCCATTAAAGAGTTCCTCTTCACCCTCAATATAGAGCCTCGTCTCATGTGTGGAGGGAACAACTATATTCACTCTTG